ACGCATTCAATGTAATATCAACGATTATCAATGAGAAGTCACCGAGTATGCATTCCACCGAGACTGAAATAGGAAACAGCAAGAGGATTTAAGGAAACCTAGTGAGACAGCTCTAATATAAAAATGAAGTAAATAGATTTCCTGTTGAGAATGAAGCTATTCCATGATGTCACGCAAATATTCAACTCTTGGCCTTATCTCATTAGCGACCACTAGTCATTTCAGAGCACTTTTCCATACCAAACCTATCATTTTAAATTACACAGAGGCCGGCAGAATCTCTGGTAAGCGATCAATCTTTAGCGATAAAGGTCTTGACTGTTGGGTAGTTTCTTCTGACTTCTTTTCTCATTTTTTTCCTTACTGGTAGGCGTGACATCGACCTCATGCCAATCCCAACCATGTCTGTACTTCAGCAACAGTCGCGCTCTCCAAGCGTTAGATATCAGCTCCTCCAACTTGTACTCAGTCGCACCAAACCTCAACTCTGTTGATGCAGTCGACGTGCACGTGAAACTGAATTTGGTGTACTGGAGCGAGCGTCAGCCAAACGTCATAAAGAGGCTGAACATTACTAGTGGAAAAGTGGAGAACGTGTCAACAGACAGCAACATAGGTCAGATCAAAGGTATTGCGGTGGAGTGGGAGAGTGGACTAATTTATTGGACTGATAACACCAATCGTCGGATCGAAGTAGCGCAGTTGGACGGGAAAAACAGACGGGTCTTGTTTAGTAAAGATATACGAAATCCTCTTGGAATAGTTGTGGACCCAAGAAAAGGGTATGTACCAGCTTTTTATATGATAGAGGGCTCTCCATAGATAAATTGCTACGGATATTATCAAAAGGAGGAAATGCACGGAAGTGGAACTGCCAGCAAGCAAACTGCTTCCTAAAGCACAGAGAAACGTAAACGACCAAGATGCGGTCGATTTTAATTTCTCATCTGATTGGTTGAGATGGCGGTGCGAGTTTTCCGGCTGATTTTATTACAGAGTTCGGTTAAGCAAAACCAGTGCCATCCTGGAGTACTTTTGAAACTCAATTGAAAATTGGTTTATGATAAATTCTGCAGCAAGTTTTTTGATAGGTTCTTTGCAATGCCCTATTTAAAAACAGACGTACAGATATCGTCAGTTGGATTTTATGTTGTTGCAGAGCGTCTAGCTTTGATGTAGAAATTCGTGTGATTCACTTGCGGTACATAGATCGATTTTGAGTTTTGACTTCATACCCTGACAACGAGTTTTCGAACGCCTGGCCAGCTCAACATAGGTTCTCCAGCCCCATCCCCAAAAGGTGAAGTAATGTTTGACTGTGACACTTCCTCTCGTAGCTCCTGAAGCGTATTCTTGATTCTGCCGGGTTCAAACCTTTAGTCCGCAAGAGTTTTTTCACTAGTTCTTCCACGCCCACTTACATTTCACGTTTTTCTTCATCACTGGTATTGTAGGTACATGTTTTGGTCAAACGGAGGATTTCAAAGTAAAATCGAGAGAGCTTCTTTGGCAGGTGAAAATCGGAAAACCTTGGTCAACCTTGGGAGCTCGTATTCTAACGTTCCGGTCGGGATGACCATCGATTTCCAAGCAAACCGTATATATTTTATTAGTCGAGGACTTTTTACCAAAAGGCTGGAAAGCATTGACTTTGATGGAAACACCCGACAACAGTTTACATCCCTCTCATCCATTAGTTATCCTTATGATATTGTATTGCTGAGCGGAGTGTTTTACGTATCTGACGCGAGAGGCAACAAAATCTTCAAGATCGAGAAGTCCACAAAGAGATCTCTGGGAAACTACGCAGGTCTTGGTTTCAGTAATCTTCGAGGGCTTGAGATGTTCTCCTCCTTGCGACAACCTAAAGGTACGATCAATATTCAAGTAATTTGTCTCAACAATTGTGTTAAAAATTTGAACTCAAGTTTGACGTGGGCAAGTTGGACACGCAGTGGCACGTAAGACTGGACTGGGACATTTTGTCTCAACTCTTACAGTGCCTTGCTCTATCTGAAAGGTACAAAGCGATGCCAGCAATCTGACAAAATGACGAATCACTTAATATCATAGTTCCTTAATGCTACAATAATCGCATAGGCTCTGATGCTCTGAGCGATCAGATTCGAGAGTAGACGTTTTTTTGGCAGGCGCTGACCTAGAAGGAGTATGGCTGGTGGAGAAATTTGGGGGAGTATTAGCGTTCAGTGTTAGTTAACACGAAGATGATTTTATCATAAAGCAGGCGGACTCATGGCCATGTTAAACTTGCAATTTCCTATATCAAAGCTGGTTATCATCACGTGTTCTCGACCGTTGGACAAAAAATAATATTCATCCTCATGGTGTTATATTTGTTACGGGTATTTTTATGAGTATCGTTTAAAACCTTGTTGTCTCTGGTTCTTTCGTAGGTAGCTCTGCTTGCCACAACAATAGTGGATGCAGCCACCTTTGTCTGCTATCGCCAGCAGGGAGCCAATGCGCATGTCCAATAGGAAGCATTTTAAAGCCTGACGGAAAGACGCGTGATGATTCAGGTAAACAATGTAAACCGCCAAGTTGTTGTTTTAGAACAACTGTGCAAGTGTTGAAAAGAAAAGTGCACTGCCAAGTGGGGTGGGCAGGAGGGGGGAAGGGGATAGAAGGCTATTTCTGCATTTAGTTACATTAAAAGATCTTTTTTGGGCAGACTATATTATTTCTAATATTAGTTTTCGAGAACTTGTGAATTTTTGAATGATTACTTATCGTTTATCGTTTCGCAAAAAAATAATGGTTTCGATGTATTTCACACACTTTTTAGCATCCAAACTTCTCCTATTGGCTGATAAGACGCAACGAGGACTCTATCAAATACCATTGGGAGCATCAATTTCAAAGAAGGCCATGGCAATCCCATTAAACAATGTCAGGAGACCTGTGGGGGTTGAATTTGACCCCCTTAATGGCTTCGTCTACTGGTCTGACAGCTTCAGAGACGTAATTTCCCGAGTCCATTTGAATGGCAGCACACAGGAGGAAGTGGTGGATCGTTTGAGAACACCTAATGGCATTGCAATAGACTTCATTGCGAGAAATCTGTATTGGACAGACAAAGGGTCAAACAGAATCGAAGTGTCTCAGTTGGACGGCTCCTTCAGAAAGACTCTTGTGTATAATGATCTTTGGGATCCACTTGACATTGTGCTCGACGTGGAGAAGGGGTAAGGGTAAATATTACCTCTCTTAAATCAGTAAAACTGTGGCTCGTAGAGTTCTGAAATCACTGAAAGAAGACATAGTATTTGATCATTATAAGTAAAAAATCGTCCATTCTTGTAAAACTACGAGATGCACCTTAGGTTATATGGCTTATTCTATCAAGTAAGATCTTGAACTACATCTTGCCTGTAGATATCAGTGCATGACCTATGGAGAGAGAAGCTCTTCACTTACCAAGAAAGTCCTTGGCAAACATTTACAGACGTTTGCTTCTGTATTAGTGCGATTTGAGAACTTTAACCCATGAGATAAAATCTACAGCTTGCAGCACAGCTTTATTATTGTGGGTAATGAACATCTTTCGATTTATTCATTACTAAGAGCTGTCATGATTTCTTCATCACATGAGAGACAGCTCAATTAAGATGAAAATAAAATTGTCGCCTTTTCCAAGTGAAAGCTTTTGTATAGAAATACCTTTGTTGTAGAGGAAGACTTGGTTTGTTCTAGGCACCTTACGGCTTGCTTTCATCGATGTCCTCAGCACTAGAGAACATGGATAAGTTAACAAGATCAAGAGTAAGGATTGTGTTTTAAAACTGTAATTGTCGCTTTTGCAGATACATGTATTGGAGTCAGGAAGGGAGTTCATCCATCGATACCAAAATAGAACGAGCCGATATGGATGGAATGAACAGAGTTGTCGTCAAAAGCTGGAATTATTACTCTCATACCACTAGGTCTCCAAATGGCCTCGCCCTAGATAAAGAGCAAAATCGTCTGTATTATTTCGACGATTACACAGACCGTATCTACTACGTTTCACTGAGTACTGGCGCCGAAAGCACTCTATTGATCAGACAGGGCAGTCCCAAGGGAACAGTCGTACATGGAAGTTACATTTATTGGACAGAGACACAAGGTCAAAGTGGTGCGGTCTACAGGGCTGATAAGAAATCAGGAGAAAATGTCGAGAGCGTGGTCAGCGGCCTTGTTGGGCCGGAAGATATCTGCGTTTACGACGCAAACGACTCGTTGCTCCAGACAGGTACGTTTCATGCTGGGTTATGAGAAAGCAATAGTGCTTGTATTGAAAAATCTCATGGATACATTTTTAACTTCCCCTATCTTCCGGTCTTGCGTCTGTAGTCTCCTCTTTTACTTAGCTTATCTTATCAATCCTCTTCTCTAACTGTCTTCAAGCACTCTCTCACATGAATCTCCTTTTTATCTCCCATTACAATGGCCTTCTACCTGAAAACATTGAATTTAAGTTTCCCTTGACATGATTTTGTTTTTGTAAAATTGCAGTGAAATCAAATTGTAGCAGGAACAATGGAGGTTGCAGCCATCTTTGTTTGCTCACTCCAGGCGGGCATCGATGTGCATGTCCAAATGAAATGAATTTGAAGCCCGACGGGAAAACTTGTAAGTCAGAAACAAGAAGAATCGTTGATAGCTACACGAGATGAAAGATATATTTAAAGTGAGATATAAGAGCGCCTCAGCCAAATATATTCTAGGTTTGCAACGCTCAACATAAAACTCGAGACATCCTGTCAGAAATACGCTCATCTTCACCGATTCCGTATCGCGTCTAATGCAAGAAAATTTGAATTGCATATAACTCGGCATCACAGGTGTAAAATTTTCACCAAGTATGGTCTCTGTAAATGGTGAAATAAAAACCCTATCTTAGCGATAATGTTTGGGCTAGATAACTGATATTCATCGTATACCATTGCAGGTCATTTTAGCGAGTTTTTACTTTTCGCCGACTCAACAAAGAAGAAGATATACCTGATTAATATCGACAACCAGCATTCACAAGTGGTACCCCTGGAACTAGGTAACCTTCAAGAGCCCGAAGCACTGGACTTTGATCCGCAGACTCACTCCATTTATTGGTCTGACCTGCAGTTCCGTCAAATAGTACGCGCTAATCCTGACGGAAAATCAAAGACGATCATTGTTAACAGCGGTCTCCAACGACCCAGAGGCATTGCAGTTGACTATGCTGGAAGAAATTTGTATTGGACAGACTATGACGGCGAAAGGATTGAAGTCGCAAAACTTGATGGATCACAGAGGAAGGTTTTAATCTCTCGAAATATTGAGAAGCCTGTGGACATTGTGTTAGACTTGAATAACGGGTAAGAAAGATAATACTTCCCAGGATTGGCTTCGTTGTCTTTTCTACTTAAGGCACTTTGGATCAGATTGACTATAGCTACGTTTTGTTTCGAGGTCATTTTGTCGACGATGGCAGCAACCAGCCATGCAGTTGCAAGGATACTTTTAGACTTTAGAGGCTGATGAACATTAATTAAAGCTTGCCTATGCAAGCTTAGTTTCTCACTCCTTAATGCTTTGCACAAATATTTTTATGAAACATGTAACGACAAGGTATTCTTTTTTTCATTTTTTCCAGTCTTATGTACTGGTCGTCGTGGAGTACACAGCCAAAAATAGAGCAAGCATCCATGGACGGAAGTAATAGGAGTACGGTTGTTTTGTTTCAAAGAAGCTGGTGGCATCGTTCCGCAAACCCTAATGGATTAGCTTTGGATCCCGAAACTAGCAGGCTCTTTTGGGTTGACACGACTAAATCTCTGATACAGTACACGGACCTTGGACTTGGCGATGGTTCCATAACCACTCTCCCTGTCCCAAGTTTCTACTTATCAAATGCTTATGGGTTGACTTTGAAAGACAATACACTGTATTGGAGCACCTCTGGATCCATTTATGCGGCAGACAAGAAGACGGGTGGTAACGTGCGTCGTTTAGTAAGGAATATAGCGAGTCCTCGAGATGTTCACGCATATCATAACTATTCAGCAATTCCAGGTAAGAGGAAGAATTAGTTTTAGTTCATTCGAATTTCCTGTCTCAACTTAATATGCCGAGCCAACTTAGATGACTATCAACTTAGTATTTTCAACCATTAAAACGAACGCACCATATGCCAGTAAATCTCGAAAACTATGATTATTTTGATGTTAAGAGTAATGCAATTATCATTGTTCCGCCTTCGTTTTATAGTCAGCTGATTTCTCCACTTGAGCTTCTCATTGCATCAATTCATGAACTGTTTTAGTAAGTCAGATATTGAGAAGTTTCGTTTTTTGCATCGGCCACCTTATCGACATGTATTTCCTTTATTACACCTGAGCGAATCCTTTAAAATTACCTCTCGCTTGATTCTAGCCGATCTTTCTTCCTTGAAAGCTTAATCTTTGCTCTGTTTTCTTTCAGATGACCACCCTTGCTCTCTGTTCAATGGATGGTGCACACATCTTTGTCTGTTAAAACCAGGAGGGTATCAGTGTGCGTGTCCAACTGACACCGGAGATATTCCCTGCAAGACTACACCTGTTATTCCACCTTCGTCCACACTGTCGCTCTCACCTTCGTGGTCGCCTTCGCCATCCTCGTCGCCATTGTCAATATCATCCCCACCATCAACAACGTCTTTCACATCTACGCCATCTTCCATGTTAGCTGTTTCAACATCGTCAAAGTCACCACTGCAATCAACTCCTCCATCTCCATCACCACTATCGATGCAAACATCGTCGTTATCGCCGTCACTGTCAGTTTTCAATTTCCCAATTTCATCATCCTCTCTGCCGCTGTCATCATCATCGATGTCGTCGCTGTCCGTCTCTTCCCCGCAACAAGAACCTGCTTCATCATATACATTATTGAAGCGGCCCTCATCTTCCATCGTACCATTATCACATTCTTCCGTGATATCAACTTTACCACCCCTAGTTGATGCGTGTATTTCAAGACCTTGTAAAAATGGCGGTACATGTCTCGAGGGAAACGAGGGTAGCTATACCTGTCGGTGTGCCTTAGGATATACCTGGCCTCATTGTGAGCTCAATATAGGTGAGTGCCAGCTACTGAGAGATTTTAGTCAAAGTAAAGGTCTCCAAGTTTTCTTCAGAGTAAGATAACGATTCTATATTTTATAGGTCACTGGTAGAATTATACTTAAGGATTTTATAAAGACGAGTCCAAAGTGACATTAAAGATATGCAAAATTATTGGAAATTTTTTGATATACAGCCCCCATACGGCTCGTTACGTTGTGATTTGCACTGAAATGTAAAATTAGCGAGCTGTTCCTTGAAATAAACCCAACTCCCTTCCTGCTCATCCAAAGAAAATATCTCAGCCTACCTAAGTACCAGGTAGAAGGAGAGGACTGAAACGAGGAAATTGGTCAAAACTTCCAGATTTAGTGCCTAGGTAAAACTATGTCATCTATGAGAGTCGTGAAACCCAGGAATCTATGTAATAATTCCTTTCTTTTCAAATGTTTCTGTTTGTAGGTGACAATGTCGTGAGTATAGCATTCAAAATGACCACGGCTCAAGTAAGTGTTTTAGAAATCTTCTTTTCCTCACCATGACACCTTTGAAATCGCGAAAATTGATATCATGTCTGATATGACAATGCCTTTGCACCATTAATTTGAACCTAATAACCCAATACACAGAGGGTCACGCAAATTGAGACTCGTGGAAAAAAACTAGCTGGGGTGGCGGATTTTATTCACATAAACAAACCAACAGACACAAAGAAAGAGTAGCAGAAATGCAAAAACGAAAAAAAACTATCTTTGCATAGAGTGGGGAATAATATCTAAGCTGTCAACAAATTTTCATTTTGATTTCATTTTCTTTATTCAAGTGGAACCAAGACACTCTCAGGAAGAGCATTGCAAAAGCATTCACCGAGTACTGCACAAAAGACCAACGCCCTTGTAAACTTCGTAAGAGGTATTGGAATTCATCAAAGCTACGTTTATGTAACTTTATAGACCGCATCTCTTACTCTTTAAGAGCACATCATCTTCACATTTATGGGAGTGAAATAGCATAGGTTATCAATAAGGTAAACTAAACGTTATAGTGATTTAGAATGTTTACTCTCTATAGAACGATATTGTGCAATTTGATGCTCGATGCTACTTCATTGAAACATGGCGATGTAAGATTTTTTTTTTTTACATCAGTTGTTTTAATTCCCTAAATTGTTAGGCTGAACGATATCAGAACCCGATCAACACCGCGCATCGACGATATCAATGTTTTCAGAACCGAGGACGTGTTAGTGCTTGGAAGGCATTTTGAAGGACACCAACGCCTATTCAGCATCGTTCTGGCAGTGTTGGTACCTGAAGAAAAGCAGCGCCAGTCATCTCTAAGACAAACCATCTCAGCTGCTACTCTCTGCAAAATGATAGTAAAAACGTCAGAACGTATTTCAGAGTATATGGATAACGTTGAAATAGTCTTAATCAATGGTGAAAAGGAGCCAACTTGTGCGTCTAACCCAGTGGACGATGATGAACACGAAGGCAAAAACGGACAAATCAGTGGGAATAAAGAAAGAAAAGTGGATAGTCAGCATGAAGAAGGGTTATCTTCTGGTGCTACAGCGGGAATTATTTTGAGTATCATTTTAGTTATCATTCTCGTGGGTGTTGGCTTCGTCTTAGTGAGGTGAGTGCTTACCTTTCGTGAGTTAGTCGTTGTTTGACTATGAAAAGAAGCCGCGAACAAGTAATTCAGAGCTTATGATGCAATTTTTTCCTTGGCCGGGTTTAGGATAATGCCCTCCTTATTAAGAATGAAAAAATCTAAATTAATCCTATTTTCTATTTAACATATAAATGGGTCTACAAATGAAAGGATGTGATAGTCATGATCCCTTTGTTTACTTAGTTTTTCAGTAATGATTAGGCGAAATGAGAATTATAAAAATAGTTCATTCATTTTGATACAAACGTTTGAGCAGCTTTTTAAGGATTTTTAAAAATACAAGATCCTTGTGCACTACATTAGACCATGACAATAGAATGCTTTATAATCGTTCGATTGACTAAGATATCTTTCATGAGACAAAACGGGACAACGTTAGTTATAGGCTCTATAAAATCATCAGTGAGATCGGATGTTTCGACTCTGAGGAACTAATTTCGTTTCAAGTGTCATTAAAAGAAAAACTGCAATAATACAGGATTTTTCTGATATTCTCTTTCATTTTTTTTATTTTTCCAAAGGTCGCGGGAAAAGGGGTTGAAAATTTTTAGAACCCCTTTCACACTTTCATTTAACAATCCTGGCTTCGAGCCTCATCATTCCAATCTTCACGACGACAATTCAGGAGGAGTTCCCTTCAGTATTCCAGAGACTTACGATCCTTACGAGGTAGTAAAACGTCCATCTTCAATAAGCGAAAGACAGTTTCAGAACCCAGAAACATCTGTTTACGAGCAAGAGTGCGAGAATCCTTTATATCTCGCAAAGAGTAAAGATGGTGATTTCCAAAGCTCAGCTGGCAATCCAATTTATGAGTCCATTAACGGGCACGGGAGTGGGAATCCAAAGGGACCAAGACCTGAATCTGATTATGGAAGCTTGGCCAAACGAAAATTTCATCCCGATGGCGACCGAAATGAAGAACCACTGTATGCTAAGCCAAATAAAATAAAACCTCGTTCGCCCTCTGGGTTTAATTCCCCTGAAGCGCAAAATGGCAACACTTATGCCCAGCTTGGCTTGGGGAGCGTTGTGCAACCTAGCCAAGATAGTGGTTTTGAGCAGCCTGGGTACGCGTCACTCGCTCCCTTCTCTCGAAATATCCACGGAGGCAATGGCAAAGGTGTTAGTTCTCGCAAGGGTATTTCCTCGCAGGATAATTTTTGGCCTCAAAACACTGTGCACCCCCAAAATCCCGAAAGCCAGAATGAAAAACCAGTGAGTCCAAGGAAAGCTTGTTTCCTTGGTTACCCAGCGAGCCGCCTGGCAGATGAGAATTGTAGTAAAGAGCAGTTAAGTAGTAAACAGAAAGTCCGAAGTACAACTTTAAAGGACAAGGAAACGCCTGTCTTACATCTTCCTACTGAGCCTGGTCCTGAAGAGACGATTATCTGAGTATTGTAAAAAATTTACTTCACTACTTTGAAAGACTAAGCGACGAACGCATCAACGAGGAAGACAATGTTTTTAAGCATAGACTCAGACTAGTCTAGAGAAAGTTTATAAGTTGCAAACAATGCCACACCTCTAGTTTTGGCAGTTATTTAGAAAACTGTTTTTGGAATGGAATAAAAAAAGCTATTTTTTAAACTCGCTGAAGAAATAGAGATGTACTTCGTACCAAGAAGAATCGATCCTTAGACCTTCAGATTCCGCGTTCCGATGCTCTGCTTCTGTGGCTATCTTAGCCACATGACTTTATGGTGAGCCTGAAGCCTATCATGGAGTATTTCGTTATAAAATTTTATATTCGTTTATTAATTAATGTATCACTCAGAAATTTCAGTGCCATTATACCATAGTTTAGTGTCTCGCTTTTGAGGTCGTTCGATGAAGTAGATAATACCAATGATATACTATTAATTATAACTTTAGATTCAGCGGTTCCTGAATCTAACATTTGCATAATTTTGATAAAAAAAATTTGAAAATGATTTTTATTACAGATGCACAGAATAAACTTAAGATATTCCTGATAGGAAAGTAGGTAAAGATTCTTTCAATAGTGTAGCTTGGTTAATCCGCTGCTGCGTGTTACTTATTAGACATTGAATTATCAGCCTTCCAAATTCATTGTACGAACTGTTAATATTAATATTGAAGCGATCACAGGCGTCATTTAAAAGGTAATGAAAAGGTAGTTTAAAGCAATGCAGTCCTAGTTAACATGTTATGTCTAAAATATGTTAGAGGACAGTTTCATGTACATTGAAAATGATCCCAAATACATAAACCGCATCGTATCAGAAACATGATGGTACAATGTTTCCTTCATTGTGATTCATTGACCCACAATGTTGATGTACCTCAACTCTTTGCCAATTTCAGGGTCATTTCCATTTATGATACAACTCAACAGAACTTTTTCTGGAGATATTAAACGATTTTCATCCTGGTGGTTTTCCAGATTCAAAAATACAAAATGAAGTCTGTCTCACCAGGATATCAAATTATATGGAGCGTCATGGTATGAAAAAGCAATTCTGAAATTATTCGACAAGCGATCGAACGAACAAAACAAGACGAAATCAAGGAAAATTCAACTACCACCATATGTCATGTATTTGCAGACTGCCGTAAAGCTGCACGGATCCCTAAGACACTTAGCGAAATTGCCTTTTTTCAGTAGTCGCACAGTAACATAGCATTTTTTTTTACGTAAGGGAAGGGAGGGATATATGTGTTCAACCATGTATGACACAAGCTATAACAAGACAGTTTTAATGGGAGGGAAGGGGTGAGTAGGGCGGTGGAAGTACTCAAGGCATGTTGAACACAATTAAGAAAATGTAAATGCATCAATCACGATGCAGAATTAACTTTCCAAAATTTTTAGAACTGTGCACCACATTCGATAGAACAAAGAAAGCGATTTCCTTGATATAAGCTCTACAACTGTGCTCTAAGAGACAGAAATCTCATCTTGAGCGACAACCAACCACAAAGCGGGAAATATTCAGCTCAGTTTATAGTGATCATACAAACAATTGCTCTCCAAAACTAGATAACCAGCTGTTCGGCTTTTCTTGCGCAGTTGAGATTGTCAGCATTGTCCAATTCCCCTTTTTATAAAGGAAGCTTTAAGAAGTTTAGCTTCCGCGGCATTTATTGCGGAAGTTTTTTGTGGATGCCCACGTTTAAAAGTACTTTCGTTTCTTAATTTAGCCAAAAAAAGCACACCTACAAAGAGAAAAGTTAGAGACGTTTGCCAAGGATAAGCTGTCAGAGTGGAGTGTCCTAAAACCCCTTTCCAGCTGACATTCTTAGCATCTTTGTCGCCATGATTATGAGAGTTTTCCTTTCTCATGTAGCCTGTAGATAGTCAAAATCTGTCATCTTTGTCAGGTTTTGTACAAGAAAGTAAACCTTCCCACGTATATTAATAGGGAGTAGTTTTCATGAAAAATTCCCATATAAGGGCCCATTAAGTTTATATTGTCAAGGAAGACTTCCCGTTGCAAGGGCCTTTGTCGACCACAATGAAACTGAACGTCCAGAGTATTTCTAACTTTTTCATACATTCTTTTCTAATCCACCCGGCTCTTCTTTACCAGCGCTGTCTGAAAACTCTTCATTTCCTTTTTCATTTTCAAACAGTGTTGCTGCTTCCAGTTCTTTTCATTACTTCTTCGTCTTCTTCTCCTTGTTCTTGTTCTTCTTTTTTTTTTTTCATTTACTCTGTGCATGCGCTGACATGTTCATGCTTCCTGATCGCGAAGCATTCGTTACGCAGACGTGAACCATATCATGAAATACAATAAACTGGACAGGGAAACGTGTCTTGCTGTGCGCCATGCAATCTTAAAAAAAGAGAATGGCCACATTACTCAAATAACCTTCAATGTCATCTTGATCACAGTTCTACAGGTAAAGAGAAATCGATTCGTTCTTTGTTATGAAATCCGTTTGTTATGGCAAGACAGTCAGGGATCATATCTTGCCTTTAATTTTGTTATGTCTCCACAGCTTGCGTTTCCTTTGTGATTTGTAGTGTTTCAACTTTTTGGCTATGCAAATTTTGTTATTGACTTCGCGATGAATAATTACGTTTAGCAAGACAGCGAGCCGAAGTAGAGAAATAGAGAAAAGTGTTTATTTAGGAAGTTTCTGTGGCTCGCCTTAAGGTAGGAAAACGTTTAATTTGATGTTCGACGCGCTTAAATTTTTGACGTACCTCCTCTAAATTATCCTCCAACTGAATATCCATCAAGGCATTGAAATTATTCTGTTTTAAACGAAGTCTCAACAATCATATCTCATCCGATCGAATCGAATCGAATGCATCTAGTACAATTCTCTATTTCGACTCATCCGCGCTTAAATTTGTGATAAGATTCCGTTATCGATATTGCCAAATTACTAAAGTTGTTTCCACCACTTAAGACAAATTTTGAAGTCTGCATTATTTTGCATGACAAAGTGTTTTGTTCGCTTAATAACATTCAAACACTTCCTAGCTTTGTAAACAATAGGAGGACTACAGCGAAAGTAGCCAGCGAATTCCTTCTTGACATATAAGTTTTTCCATATCAACGTCCAAGGTATTTACTACCGAATATTTAATCTATTTATCACGTATATCATATCTAGCTATCTTTGAATTGACTAGGCAATATACTAAGCTTGCACGATTATAAAACGAATAACATCCAAATAGGTACAATATCTGTGATACAAGACTGACAAATACATGGACTCTCCATAGGATCGCTGTATTGCAGTATGGTAGTCACCAAGGAAAGGGGAAACATGCAGCAACAGACTTTTTATAAGCAGTTTCATCCTTTGGTACTTTTGACGTTGGCCGTACTTGTTTCGAGAAATATGGGAGGTGAGTTATTCCCAGTTGAGTTAAAATTTGTTAGACTTAATGTCGATGAGCCCACTGAATTGCAAATGTTTTTTTCCCAATTAAAGTTTCACGTTTCAACACCCGGGTTCTCGGATACGCGGCCGTTTAATTAACGAATTTTGTGTTGTCCTTGTGGCAAGATTTATTCCTCGTGACAAGAGGATAGCAGTAAGAGATAAGAAACACTAAATTACCACATTGGCTCTTCAGGATCAAAGAAGTTCAAAATCTGCAAGAAAGCGACAATAGTTTTATAAACATCGATTTCCTAAAGGCAGCAAATAGACTTTCGAAAGTTCATCGAGTCAAAAAGAAATATTCGTACAGTGGATAGAAAAATTGGTAATTTAGAGTTAACAACTGAGTTGAAAACGTAAATTGACCGTGAAGAGTTTAAAGGCTGACGTTTCGAGCGTTAGCTCTTCGGCAGAGTGATTGAAAAATAGGTCGCTTTAAACTGATGAGCCTACGACTGAGGCAAGCAACATGCACAGTCTGAAAAATTTTCATCTTCACGCCGAGATCCTTTTATTTGATGCTTGTCAAGCTTACTTTTATCCTGAGAAAACAAGGTCAGTCTTATGATAACTTGAAATCTCGAAACCGTCTCTGTGTAAGCGATTCAGCCGAATGTTATTCAACTTATTCTACCGAATTACGAAGAAAAGAATTACGTTTAGATTTAGTTGTAAACATTGTAAACAAGAAACTTTTTAAATAGAGATGTCAAGAAATATGCTGAATCACCCCATATTACGTAGGGATCCATGTTGTGTATCGCGGAGCCGACATTGTTTACACGTAAAGCCGACGTCATAAGTTGAGTGGACGATTTTTGCAAACAATCCTCTAACAAAACATTACATAACTAGGGAAAAGTCTAATTGGTATCTAGCATTGAATGACGCTAAATTTTTATAGCCTGTCATTAGCCAAATATCGTCATTTCTTTATTTATAATTGATTTGAAAAATTCTCCTTTAACTGAGGAGTTCTCAAATAATATTGAACTGAGAAACTTGGTCGATTTTTTTCATGTCAATTGATGTCATATCATATAAGCAATCCAGGGTTTCAAACGTTTCAAATAGGAATAACCCTGCATACAGCCGTCGGTGCAATGGAAAATTAGAATAGAATCGAACATTTATACCAAATAGTGCAATATATCGTTGTAGTCATCTTGAATGAGGAACATGTTATGCAGTAATTTATTTTGTTTGTCATGTTAACAATTCAGATATGTAAATGAATATCGGGAAAACAAAGATTTAAAACATCATTATCGATCAAGGATAATAGTTGGCATGGGAATAACTTTCTCAAAGAAAGAAATGTAGATGCAAATGGGGACGAACGGTGCCAGGCATCTAATTTCTCGAGCTGTGACTGATGCACTGCCTTGCGTAAAAGTTATTTTTGTTTATCTTGCATTTGAGTCACAATTTTCTTAACTCTAGTTTCTATTAAGAATTACGTCAAACGTTCTTGTGCTCCTGAGGAGCTTTTCAAATCTTTATGTCCACGAGGAAATAAAACTTCAAGTTTGGTTTGTTTGAATCAGTCCGTGATAACAAAGTCTAAATATAATAGAAGTTGAACCCACTATTTTATGTAACAATAAGGACTGTGGCTCCTGTTGGGAAGAAAAACATGTTAAAACAAGTTCCGTCACATCATAGGACATAATAGGTCCTCGTGCTGCTATGACTATGTAGCCTGGGGCATGATTCCTCGTCAGGTTTATGTAAATTTAGGGCATACTAGCAGCACATTCTAAAGTCTTTGTTTAGTATACCTCACACACGTCTGAAATTTGTTTTAAAAATTCGTAGCACTAGCATATCACATTCGAATGGAACTTGTCTCGTATCAAGAAATGGTCCATTGTCATTGGAGAACAACATTGCCTCTGTTATTTTAGATAAAATTTTTCCATATAGCCTGCACTTGACGAAAAATGTTTAAAAATCTTATGCTGGTAAGGGGTCAAGATATTACCAGGCCTTGAGAATTTATCGAAAAAAAGTTCCAACCATCCGAGGAGTACATTGCGTTTGTGAAAATGCCACTCTTCTTTTAAAAAAAGATTGACTGATTGACTTGATTGACACTAGTGTTTCTGCAACGCAGGTTCGCATGGCTGTCAGAGCAACCCAAGCCTCTACTTCATTGACGATCACAATATCAAATGTGCCACTGTCAAATCTTTGCAACAACCAAACCCTTCCTTTCAAACGGTAGTCACTAAAATTGCTGAAGGAGCAGGGATTGACATTGATGTGCGAAACAGAATGATCTATTGGAGTGACACCACGGCGTGGACGATAAACCGAATGAACTTGACTTCAGGAGAAATAAAAGTCATTGTTAGGCATAATGTAGGAGAGGTTTACTCCCTGGCTGTTGAATGGGAAAGCGGCTTGATCTACTGGACGGATTATATCTACGAGAGAATAGAAGTAGCTAAACTTGATGGGAGCTCCAGGAAAACTCTTGTAACACAAAACGCGCGTTCGCCTGTTGGAATTTCAGTCGATCCAAGAAGTGGGTAGGTAATTATGGTCTCGGAGTCGTGCATTGCTTTTTCTATTCTATCTTTATCCTGAGCAAGTTTTATTGGGTAGTGCAGATGGAAAAATTTGACAAGTTTTTCCGACAAGTTCACCAGTATAAGACGTATTAGTCACGTTTTTGAATAAGGAGGCTGGTTGGGGCAAAGACATCTCTGTAAAGGCAAAAAGCCGCCGATCTCAGTGTTATGAAGAGTTTTGTAAAAGGAGAAGCACTATGCTTACTGAGAACAAACTCGGTTAAAAAATCTGTTGAATTAAAGAAGAAAGAATTTTCACGAATTCGCCTTATAGAACAAGGCTGTCCTCAGGACCTCGTCGAAGAGATCTAAGCCGAATTACAATTCTCATCACGCAACACGCAAACAAAACGAAAACATTTAGAAAGATTTTGCCGTTCGTTACGACTTTCAACCCTGCTAACAAGAATCTTAAAAAGATTCTTATGAAACAATGGCATCTTATTTAAGGCAACAATTGTTGCTTATCGGAAGGACAGGTCTCTAAAAGATTCTCTTGTTATAGCGCAACTTCCTTCACTTTAATTACAAAACAGCATCGAGGAGTTATAATATTAATTCATAATATGTAGAGAGACTGCGTAATATATCGTAAGTATTTTTTTTTGCAGATACATGGTTTGGGTGGAGCACGATTACGCAACGAGGAAGATAATGCGTGCAGATTTGACAGGCGAAAATCCTGTAGAGTTGCAAAAACTTTTTTATGGCTTGCCTCTATATGTCATTATTAATCACAGCGATAGTCGAGTGTACTGGACCGATATTCATCGTTCATTTACTTTTATTGGGTCAATTGGAATTAACGGAAATCATTTCAGACGTGAGAAATATCTTCATCCAACTTATTTCCCATTTGATTTGGCAATCTCTCAAAATATCTTTTATTGGGCTGACCAGAATTTGCATGGAGTCTCGTGGTTCAATCAGAGTTCGTCTTCCAGTGTGGTGAATCTTCAAAATCTATCTCCTCTTGATTTAATTGGAGTGGCAATATCTGATTCATCAACTCAACCAATAGGTATTTGATAAACATCTTTGAGATGCATGATTTCATAAAGTGTCATGCGGCAGAAACGATTTGAAGTCAGAGTATGAAGAGAGGGTTTAGTCACTATGTGCCTACCTTTTTTAGTTAGTACTGTTAAAATGTCTCTCGAAATCACCATCTGAAGTATATATACTTTTCAAAGCTTCTTGTAGAGACCAGTGGCATAGTTAAGTCCTAATCAAATTTCATCCACGACCCGCTTTCATTGGCAAGCCCTATTGTTAAAGAAAATTCTAAGTAGCAGTTAAATGACAAAACCTTTTTTTTCATGGGGGAAAGTTTCCCATTCGACAAAGAAAAATATCAAGGGAACACTCATCAGGGAAATTAATCTCTGTAAATGAGTCCTCTTTCAGTGAAAACGGCGCAAATTTATATTCTTCTCTATTTTCAGCGATCCAGGAAAATCCGTGCGTAGTCAATGATGGAAATTGCAGCAATTTGTGCCTGTTAACCCCAGGAAGGGCAAGAAAGTGCGCCTGCCCTGAAGGAATTAAATTAAGGAATGACAGCATCACTTGTGAAAACGGTAAGTGAGTACAACCAAGAAATGACTTAGATGAGAATGCAAATGATCATTGATTAAGCTAGGACTAGAGTAACTATTACTGCTGCTGTTTACAGTACTCTACGAAATTATTACAGTTTTAGGGTGTAGACCATAAATCCTACGCTCTAAACTTTTCAACAAATTCATGACGCCAAAAGCGCATAACCTAGGTTATATGCTTTTGATGCCGCTGAATTCATAAAAACTCCCTAAACAGTACTCTGTAGATAAAAAATGAAAGTTTGTGGCCTTATAAAGAAAATCACTTTTACGATATCATGTCACATTTCATGAAATACGTCCAGACGTTCACTCTGAAGTGAAGATTGCGCCTCTAAGTAAAAATGAATACTAACTCAGCCAATGTCTTGGAGTCTAAAACAGCGTATAATGAGAGACAAAGCAGTAGTGAAAAACTGAGAATGGCGACGATAGTTTTTAGGCGAAACGTGAATCATTTCATCATGGCTCTAATGCAAGAATATGTTTGGTTCTGTAGAAACTGCGGCTGCAACACTACCACCGCCCCTTCCAGGTATGTTCTCAATCCTTAGCATATTAAGCACTTTAAATTAAGGTCGTGAATACAATGGTCAAAATATCGCTAGCTTTGCACGAAGTTGCTATCACAGGTGCAGTCCAGGGAGCATTTTGTTATCAAAACAGTAAGCGATTCACATCATTACCGACTGCCATTAATGACTGTATATTCTATCAGTGCAAATCAGAATTGACGGAATTCATTGATGACAAGTGTTCTTCATCACACTTAAAGGAAAATGGTCTTTTTCGTTCAGTTAAGTTTTGATTAAAATATGGTGGAACGGACAGCTCTAAAAAGTTCCATATATACAGGAAGCCAACATAATTAAAAGTTGCTATGAACACTAGGAAGTTAAACACCACTACTTACAGACTTATGTTGCTTGAACCTCTAGCCATACAAGTTCGCCTCAGGCCCCGGAGCGCCTCCAAGGAAGGTAAAGGCCGTGTCGAGGTTTTCTATAACGAAGTTTGGGGAACAATTTGTGATGACTACTGGGGTCTCGACGAGGCGCACGTTATCTGTCGCATGTTGAACTATTCGGGAGCACAATTTGCACCCCGGAATGCATTCTTTGGCCGTGGATCAATTTTTATGCCAATTCACTTAGACAATATTAAGTGTCGAGGCGACGAGTCGACAATTGCTGCGTGTCGCCATAATGGTTGGGGCCAAAATGACTGCTTACATTCAGAAGATGCCAGTGTGGTATGTTGGACCGACTCGGCTCCTCCTATTCAAGGTATGGAGCCTCTTGTAGTACAGCGTTCTCGCGATGAACAATTCCTCTTTATTGTTTGTTCGTCGTTTAAACGATAGTTGTTATATTTCTGATTTGTATTTGTAACAATAGAATATTTTGATTCACTAGAATTGCAAGAGTGCACCAGGAGTCTCTAACTTCTGTGTTTAGAAATGGCTCAGTTCCTCTTTCATTCACTCCTTTCTTATTGAAACTATGAGAGTTACCAACGCCAAGAGGTCTTAATTTCGTAATCCCTCTGTTAAAGTTGTACATTCTGCCTTCCAGTGTGGATAAGGATGCTCATTGCTGAGCTCTGTTCCACAAGTACGATCAAAATGTTCAAGTTCAGCGATCGTATGATAAAAAGCCAAATATTTTATTCCACTTTGCAGAGCCAACTTTGGCCCCTGGACCCTATCCAGGTACTTGTCTCTTTTGAATTTTGAAGTTAGTTGATCACTGTATCTTGTTCCACGTATAACAATGTATGTAAAGTTACGCTGTGTACTATTGAATGGCCTCGTGCCGGCGCCTTCTAGTGAAGGTGATGAAGATGGTGGTAACAACATTGAAGATGGCGGCATTGACCACTTCATTCTGCAATGATACCTTGAAGAAATGAGGAATCAAAAGCGGTCCTTCACTGCGCATAATTTGCTGAAATTAGACCATTGAGTATGATTTTCAAGACTGTATACTTTCGAGATTGATTATTTCGATCAGTTCCTTGCTAAATTCGATCAATCGCTCGAGAGCTAAGGAGAATTCACAATAGGTGATACAGACATGGATTGGTTAAAGCTAACACTCTCAGTGTAACCCGAATCTTCCCGTAGGGAAGTCCAAAATATCTACTGCGATATAAATGTAGTATGATGAGTCTTTAGAAATGTATAATTTAATAGTTTTATGATTCCTTGTCTCACTTCAGAACTAAAAGTGCGATTACAAGGTGGAGACAATTATTATAAGGGTAGAGTTGAAATTTACCTGAATGGAACCTGGGGAACAGTATGTGACGACTCTTGGGGAATTGAAGAAGCCAACGTCATTTGCCGAATGCTGAACCACACAGAAGGAGCCGTCAGCACGCAGTGCTGTGGATTCTATAATGGATATGGCGTTTCCGAAAAGATTTGGCTGGATGATGTTCACTGCGTTGGAGATGAAAATAGCATCGCGGAGTGTCGCCATGGCGGCTGGGGAAAACACAACTGCCGTCACTCAGAAGATATAGGGGTCGTTTGCAAGCATGCTCCATTATCAACACCAGGTATACCTCGTTTTTCTTTCTTTCTCTTTTTTTCAATTCCCCAGCCACCGTTGCCTGTCTCCCTTCCTTCCCATTTCAAATATTTCTTTAATTACACTTAAGTCCAATATCGGCTCTGTTATACCGAAATTATCGGAAGGACAATTTTAAATCCTGAAATCGCTTGTTTATTTACCGTTTAGCTTCAACTCATGTAATCTGTGCCATGACATTCAGTTAAATTTCTAAAATTAAATTAAGGATATTTCTTGTCGAGGAATAAGTGGTTGTGCTGTTGACTCTCCTCTCCGGGTAATAGGTGAACGCACAGATGCAAAGAAAATTGAATGGGATAGAAAGAGAGGCAGGGATAACCATGCCCTTAGACGAGTAACACCACCTAGGCACACTTAGCCACTTTGATAACAGAGGCGCTTCTATTCTTTCCCCCTTCGTTTTTGTAATATAAGTCTACAGTGTTCATTATTGTTTTCTATCAAGATCAAATTGTGCGACTAGCAGACGGAGCTCGAGAGAGCGAGGGACGTGTGGAAATATTCCATAATGGAGAGTGGGGAACGGTTTGTGATGATCACTGGGATATCAACGATGGAGATGTTGTATGCAAAATGCTAAATTACTCGAGAGCACTGCGAACCCCCAAACAGGCTTTCTTCGGTCCAGGAAATGGTAAAATTTGGCTTGGCAATGTGAAATGTAGCGGGAATGAAACAAGTCTTTTGCAGTGTGGAAACCCGGGTCGGAATGTTGACATTTGTGACCACCACGAAGATGCATCTGTTATATGCGAAACTGAGGCACCACATTTAGGTAAATTAAAAACCCTTTGAGGGTCACATGGTATATGTTGTATAAACCTAATTTACTTAACTTTACAGTTCACCACCCTTTTACACTCTCAGAGTTTTGATTTATTTAACATTTAGCTCTATAGCCTCAACTACTTGCTAGGAACTCGAGCAACGAACTTCGGATCGCAAAGAAATTGAACAAAAGGATTAATGAAAGAGTGTTAGTGCAGGTAATCCCACGACACTGAGAGAATTTTTCTACCTTTAAACAAGGTTGTGCAACCAGGTCATTTTTTTTAAGGTCAATTTTAGAGGTTTTTTAACCAGGTCACTTTTCGAAGGTCAATTAGATAAAGTAGATTTCGTTCGGAATTAAGAAAATTTCGGAATGAAAAGTAGTCTTGAGAACAGATATGTTTGTAAAATACTACAAGCCCCCCAAAACCAGAAGATATTCGATGAAGAAGGTTAAAAGCGACTGTTTTTTTTTCTTCAGAATCCAAAAGTTTTATTCTAGCATGTGGACTCGGACGAGAACTTCTTTATCATGTCCCTCTTGATACGAATCTGCCTGAAAAAGGTATGCCCCTGGCAATAGAGACTAACACTCCACTGGCAGTAACCTTTAACATTGAAGACAACTTGATGTACTGGACAGAACAATCTGGATCTATTCATCGTGCTTATTTGAATGGCAGCTTCAGGGAAGTCTTATTAACAGACCTCATCCGGCCCACGGCTATTGAAATAGACCACGTGGGTAATAACCTATACGTGGCAGATCAAAATGGTGTCACAGTATCGAAGCTTGATGGTTCATATCAGACTCTCCTGATCAACATGACATCTTGTCATGGAATTGCTTTAGACAGCGTAGCAGGGTAAGATTTCTTTTTCTTTTTTTTATAATCTTCATTGCTTGCACACATATGCATCATAACATTTCCTGCACTCTGACTAAAAAAGTTTTCCATTTGAATTTATTTTCCACAGGTATATATATTTCACTGTGACTGGTATTAGTCCAAGAATATTACGCGCAGACATGGATGGTAAAAATCCGCTTGTTTTGGCCAATGTGTCCTCCATAAGAGGAACCATATTGGACATAGCATTGGACAAGGTCAACAATCGACTTTTTTACTCGGACGAAGGCAACAACATGGTGAAGTATATCAATTTAACCAGTGGAGTGCATCACGCTGTGCTGTACGGTAATCCTCGCAGACCAGTTGGTCTTGCCTTATTCAATGGAACCCTTTACTGGACCGGTGAAGGGACTGTGGAGTTGTTTAGTGGTGGCATCTATAAGGTTAAAGCTGACACTTTAAATGGGGGCATCGTTCGTGAGGTGGTGGACCTTCTTTCGTATCCTAAAGGAATATATGCTCATGACGCCCGAATGAAGATACCAGCAGGTGGGATCTTTATTAAAAAAAGTCTCGCCATAATCATTTTTTGCAACAACAAAAAAACGGTTTTAACCTTATTTTCTTTTTTTGCTTTCGTCTCTTATTTTTGTTTTCGATCATTATCTGCTAAAGTGGGTTTCTTGGCATATGAGAGGAAAACTGATCGATAAAGAAGGAGAGAGAGCAGAGAGGACCAAGAAATAAGCTCACAAGTTACTCCAAAACCAGTCGTGCAGCATGAGAGAATTTGTGTCAGTTGTCTTCTGTAAACATTTTTTTAGAAAATGATTTCAAATGAATGGTATCAATCGTAGAAATCGGAATATAATTAAAAAAGAGACTTACACTATCCTTTACGAACCCAGGTTTTACTAAATGCTTTCGACTGTGCGCAAATAAAGCATTTCGTTGTGACGCGAAATTTTGTGCACGGTACGCATGCAATGCTTGATTTTTTTTTATTTGATCGAGGTAAAAGTTGTAACAGCTCAGTGCATTAGCATTCGAGTCAAGGTAATACAAAATATTCTGCTTTTGAATTACTTTCTACTTTTTTTTTTGCCTTTAGTCGATGATAGTCATCCTTGCGCTAGAAACAATGGCAGTTGTTCCCACCTCTGTTTAATAAACCCAACAGGCCACAGCTGCATCTGTGTCGGAGCAGGTTCATGCCAGACATCTGTCAGCTCATCAGCCTCTATTACAAGCGCCATGTCCTACTCATCAACAACTCATGCTACTGCAACATCAACAGAAATTCATGCTTCAGCCTCAGTTTCTTTATCAATCTCATCTCCGATGTCCTCATCATCACCTTCCATGACCTACCATATGGTGACTGAACACGCACACACAACAACAGTCAACTTTTCCCCTTCACCGGTGGCTCCGACGGCAACACGTGTAAGCCTTACACCTTCCCAAACCCCGTCTGATATCTGTGCATCGCAAAATCCTTGTGAGGATCGAGGTAGCTGCCAAGCTGATGTTATCGAAGGCTACAAATGCGTGTGCTTGGAATATTTTATTGGCCAAGACTGTTCAATAGACATAAGTATGTTATTTAGTTTGGTGGTTAAATAGTTATAGTGTTTGTCTTCCTTTGTAACTGTCATAAGAGGGGGAAGTGATCACGTTGGAGTACAGGTTCGCATATAAAATATATAGGCTTGTTAGATACGAAACTATGCCTTCAAAGCGTAAAAACAACGACAACTAGTAAAATTACACTCTTACATGTTCTTCTTCATTGCCTTTTCATTCCAGTTAACATTTTTCTTCCTATTCTTACAACAGCTGATGAAGCAATTCAGAGTACATGGTGTGATTAACAAACCAGAAAGCGTGGAACAGAGGGGGGAAGGGGGTTGGCGTGGGAAAGCAGATTTTGTTTGAAATTTGGCAAGTGTTTCATGAAAAGCTTAACCACTGAGGTCCCTGGAAAAAGGAGTTCAATTCGTCTTTTTGATAAATGTTTACAAAGTTTGAATACAAAGTCGCGTATATCTAAAGCCCTGTCTACATGGTAATTACCTGCAAGAATGCTCTTGTCTGTTATAGAGCGAGAAGAGGAGGTAAAACTTATCGCTTGATATTTTGATTTTCTCCACAGGTGAAGGAGTGGTGGTCCTTGTCATAAAAATTCAAGGAAATGAGGTAAGGGGGAGAGGTTACTGCCTAATATAGAGGAATCAGTCTCTAGGATTTTACAATAAGAACTAAAAATGCACCCTCTCTCGACATTATTATTATCAGGGAATTAAGAGGAAAGAGGTTACCGCGGTATCTAATTTATTTCTAAAATTTGCTGATTACAATTGCATGTGCTCAAATTATCCAGACAACATAATAACCGATTAAAAACACCTTTCCTTTCGAAATCCTCAAAATGAAAAATTGTATTGCAAGAATAAGCTTACAGAGTAATAAATTTAAATTTTCATGAAATTTACTGTAAACGTTTTAACTCCATTCCACAGTTCAACAAAACCGACCTGAAGCAAGTCATCCTTCAAATCTTGAATCGCCTCTGTGAAGATCCCGAAAGCGAACAGTGTCCAATAACAACATCAGGGTAAGCAAATGCTGATAAAGGTAAACCTATTTCCCCCGAGCAGGCCTGTTCTTTGTTCTGGAATTTCTTGTAGAGTTAACAGTTCAATGTGAACAAGGCCAAACTCATCGACTTTTCAAACTGTGGGCTGTGCTCGTCCATATCCTTTGTTTAACATTCACAAATGCCTCAAAGTTGGAAAACCACTAGTAAACACCACGAAATGATGAGGATATTTAGTATTATCAACTGAGTTGATAACGTAAACTAACCATCATAAAGAGTTTCAAAGCTGATGTTTCAAGTGTTAACCTTTCGTTAGCCCTTCGTCATTCGCTCTGACGAGGAGCGAACGCCCGAAACGTCAGCTCTGAAACTCTTTAGTGACCAATTTACCTCATAAACTCAGTCGATAATACTAAACTAGCCTGACTTTAAACATATGAAAATCATAAATGTGTGCTGCGGTTGAAGAAATGAATATAGAAGCGATCCTCGCAGTTATGAACACTATTGAAC